CATTCCTCTTCTTATATTTTATTTCTAACATTTATCCCTAACCATTACGTGTTTTACAATAAATAACTTGTTATATTTAAAGTTGATATTGTTTTTGCAACGAAAAAACTATCGAAATGTCATATAACCCTAGAACCGTTTAGAGATGTAAAAGTTGAAATAGATTATTAATGTTAACAGTCCACGTAGACTTTTGTCCTATTGTAAAATCTTAAGGAACTTTTATGTGTTTCATATTGGTAACATTTAAAACCTCGATAGCAAACTACTGTATGAGCATCAATGTTAGAAATACATATCAACAGGTGTGGTAATCATTAGGTAATCAAATGCACGTTTTATAGTCAGCATAATATTACATACTGCATAATAAAGAGGTTGTAGCACAATACCAACACAAGCCAATAAAATTTAGAATGGAGAATCCGTTAAAAAAAACTACTGTATGCCCAACAATCGTTAGAAATATACAGGTGTCCCACGAAAAGGTTTAAAGGTTCGATTGTATAATGTACAGTATATTACTTGCCCATTTTATGCACCAAAAATTTTGAAACTTAACAAAATTTATAAGGTAGGTTTAAAAATATAGCTCCCTAACCCTTGTAGAAACAAAATGGTGGCATATTGAAATACCCCCGCCGCAGCAAACCTGCAGACTAAGCGAATTTCCATTTCCCTGAATGGATTTACACTAAAATGTCTCCTTAAAAATATCACATTTATTCCCTATTTAAATAGAATCAGTTTAAAACATACTTAGGTTTGCTGCAACAGGGAGGGTAAAAGTGTTTTTTATGTAAAATGTTAATAGTTAGTAAGAAATAAAAACATTTTCCAAATTTGGGCAAAATATGTTTATAAACAAGTAAACTACAACAGTTTACTTATTCTCCATAAGAATAACATAGGAATTTTAAATTTACAATTTTTTGGAATTTTCTCCGTAACCATTAGGCGCATTATAACGCTTCAATATACTAAATTATTTGTTTTTTTAAGCTCTACAAAATAGTTTCGAAATAAATTGAAAAATTTTATGTTTTTTGGGTCAAAAATGGGAAAAACCCATTTTTACCCCATAAAAGCCCCTTTAAACCCCCGTTCCCATGGTCCGATCATGCTGGTTCGCGAACTCGTTCGAATAAACGTAGGTTTACACGTTTGTACCAAATTTCATCAAAATCGGATCATTTTTGCTCGAGTTATCGCGCTAACGGACATATATATATAAATATATATATATATATATGAATTTGAACGGATGGTGTTTTTGACCTCTAGGGACCTCAAAACGAAAAAAAAAATCGGTCCCGGGTCCAGGTCTTACCGTGAGTACTACGTTAATAGCTTATTCCCTATATGGGAAATTCGCTAAAAATGGTACCTTAAAAACATTTGAAATGGTGTTTTTGATCAACGTCAAAAGTTCTCAACTTCAGTCTCAGTAAAACTGTACCGGAAAAAGTAAGGTTATGTTTATTTGGCTCAAGCGATATTCCTTAATGAAACAGCTGTTTTACAACAATGAGCGTACTGCGACATAATAAACAAATCAGAAAGCATGTGATTTTCGTAGGAACAGGTAAATTTTTCAACATGCCACCATTTTATTTCCACAGGGGTTGGGGAGCTAAAATTTTCCCAGAATATTTTTAAACCTACTTTATAAATTGTGTAAAAGTTTCAAAATGTTTGGTATGAAATGGTCAAAAATATAAAATCAACGTTTTTAACAACTGTGATAATCATTAGTTAATCAAATGCATATTTACTCATAATATTTCGTACTATATGAACTCCAGTAACGCCACAGTCAGAAGAATGTATAATACAGAACTGGTTGCTAAACCGGTCATCAGGATGAGAACGAACCCAGAAAACTTCGTTCTGACTGCCATGACCCGCACTCATTGTTTGTTTTATGTTTATGATTACCGCCTCTACGATTCCGGTGATCATATGTAGACTAGAAAATATTGGTTGTTGAAAACTATTAAATACTTTTAGATCAGAGTAATCAATGGCAGTTTAAACGTAAGACTGAAAACTCTGGAAACGGTACTTGAATGTCACACATTTAGCTTTAACTCGTTTTACATATTTAAACAAACATTAGAGACTTCTTTAATTACACTTAACTATTAAAATGTCATAAATCTATACAGTTGTATACAGTAATCAACCAAGTGACAGAATTGGGAAACATATCTGAGCGATCAATTAAAAACCAGTATTAACATGAAAGTCAATTTGAACGTTTAAAGGCTACTAAAATAGTATATGTAGTCTACTTAATCATGATAATCGACTCAATAAACATTTCTAGAAAATAAATATACATGTATAAATTAAAATCAATTGACCTAAAAAAGATTAATGTATTATAGTGTTTGGTACATACTAGAGTTTATGGTAATTTCAAATTGGTTTACATTTGCACTACTGAAGAGTTCAATGCCAGTTTTGACTTGAGTAGTCATCTTGTTTCTATGTTAATTGTGTACTGTCAGTTTCATAATTGAAAATATGGAGCCATCGATAGTGTGCCATTGTATACCACTGATTTCTTTATAATTAACCTACACAATCCCAGCTAAAGTGAGCAGGATACTTAGGTTAACTATTCCATATTTTATGTCACTCAATTGACAAAACAAAAAGTACAATTTAATTTGTAACTAGTTGTATTTTAAATAAATTAAGGGAGGAAATAAAGTATAATTTTGTCAAGTGTGCACCATAGATATAAAATACTCCCTTTAGTAGAGTTCTCATCCTTATGGATCTGCTGAAGAAGATTTTATTATAGTTATGTCCGGTGTCCTGTGGGGTCGTGTTTTGATTACAATCTACAAAACATTTTCACCAAAACTGTTTCTTGTTATTTCAAGCATTTAAAACCTCGTCCAAAAAAAAAAAAAAAAAAAAAAAAAAAACAATCTAACCTTAAACAATAACTCGTCTCCTAGTTTTATTACCAAATTGAGCACAAATCATATTAACCCTAAATATAAACAAAATTTCTTCGACAAATAAATTCGCGATCAGTTGTCACCAACATAAACTAGACACGAAAACGAGTTTCAAAGTTTAGGGATGAGAAATCTATTTGTGTTAGTTATTTAATGTGGCAACTCTGTGAGGTGTTCATTTATTGTTTTCTAATTGAAAACATTGTTACAGCCAATTTTGATTACGATCGTGATGTCCCTTGAGTGGATTTTATTTGTTTTATTTCCAATTCAAGTAAACTCAGTACAGTAGTGTCGAGTGTGAGGGTGTTGTATGTTGTCTGCCGCTTTGCCACAGGTAGGAAACATTCCAGACCTTGTCTGTCTTGTGACAAAAGGGCCTTCGACGAGACCTTGAGAAATAATGGCGTCTTCGCCCTCAAAGGGCTAATTTCAGCCCCCAGATGTTCTACCCTCGCGCCCTCGGCCCCGAGACCGCCGCACTCAAATCAATAACGTCACTGTTGAGATCCTCTTTTGATTTTGTGGCAGAAGTAGAAACAACAAACAAATAAATGGAAAACAAAATGAAATATTTACTTATATTTTGGTTAAATCGGTGAAATTTAATCAAGTTATTCCACTAGATACAAATGAAAAATCCCTAACGAGGTAGGGGTTGTTAGAAACACTTATCAGTGTGTTGCTATATAGCTATGAGTGTATAGCAATTAATTCGCCAATCATCCATAACTATACCAACAATGTTGTGATTCATTTCTTGAGTATTTTCATCATGTATCTTATTCATGTATATAATAACTATGAATGATATTCACATAATTTATCTCAAGGTACTAGCAACCGATTATACTGGACGAGAACAACTCAATTTAGAAATGTTCATTCTCATTAACAGTTATGGCATTCATGTTCACAACCATTTGAACTGCCAAATTGAGTAATGAATGGAATTACAATTTTTTCTCTGATTGGACGTTGAATACGTAACGAAATTTCACTTGAAGGAAAAGTTGGTCGTACTGTGACTACAAACATTGTTATTCTGTAATCTGTATACAATAGTTGACTGACTCTAGCTCGCTCGCTGTGCTCGCTCGTTGCACTTGCCACTTGCAGTGCGGGCGACGTGAAGTACGTCCCGTTGACACCCGGCGCGCCGCGGCCGCATCTTACAAAAAACTTGTCTGCGATTAAACAGCTTAGCGTGAAGCGAAGCATTCAACTTGGCAACAGCGGTGTACCCGATATTGCGGCGGGGGAGGGGAAACTAGGGGTGGCAGGTCAGTAATACCCCCTCCACCTTCCTCCCCCCACCACCGTCATCAGACATCGCTCCGTCGTCATTCTGAAGCGTGTCTTCACGCAGTGAGCGTCGCGCGGTCCGCCGATCAGACAAAAACACGCTGTATTCAAACTGACGCAAAGATTTTTATTTTTTTAGAAAAATGTTTTTTCACCGTTTACTCACTTGAAGGGTCGTGTGCGATGCATTTTTGACAGGAAGTGGACATAAAAACGCTTATGTGTGGTCTCCAATGTTGGGCTATACCGCCTACAGGTAGTTTTTTGAGTTGAGATTTGTATGATTAAGTAAAGGAGTAGTACCGACATTTGTATGGATTTTGAATTAAAAACATATTATTAAGTTTGGTAATTTAGTTAACATCGTTACGACTTTTTCTCGAATTTATTTACAGCTTTTATTAATCCTCGAATAAATAAAGTATTCCCTACCTAAATGCTAACCCATCAGTTATTCCTAGTTTCAATTTGTTTACCGTCGAATTAACGTTTCAACCTCATCATCTGAAAGTGTCGCGAGTTTGTCGACCGTCTCGCCATGGATTACCTACAGTGCACCTTGGATTACCACCTACAGTACCTCAGCGATCATCTGACCCCATTCTACAGTGTAGTGCATTTGTGTTGGCCAGTTGCAATACTAGTACAGTGAAAGGAGTGTAGTTGAGCGCTCTGCCGCTCGTGGCAGCACTCGTCGGCCGCTCAGTTCTGGTCTGCATAGCTTTTACCATTACTTCGCTATACAGGTTCGCTCGTCGCGCCGACCGGTTTTTTAAACGCCGCGTACTCTATTATGATTGACGGCTCGCATCTACGATCGTGTTTCAAAGGTTTTGGTGACAGTGTTTTGACGATCGGATTTTAAGTGAAATTACAATACGATGATTAATAATTACCGGACATAACCTAAAAATTAGTGCCTTTTTCAACAATCAATGTGTTTTGAGTGAATTTAACTTTTCGTCGAGAATATCTTTTCTCGGATACCACGGACTACTGATGACCATCAACAGGACTAGAATCCTCCTGTATTTGAGTTATTTGTGCGGATACATTTGAATTGTCAGTGATGAGTGCCCATTCTGGATTAAGTGCTGTGATTTCCTAACGATGGATTTCGATTGTGGGAATATGCCTAATTATATGGACTTAAATCTCGATTGGTAAGAATAGATGATAGTTTAATTTCGTACGTTTAATCCGTAAATGTTGGAATTTTATAACAAGCTGAAATCAATCAAAATAATGATACGCAAGGGATAAAAATATCCAACTGGCCTATTTTGAGACAAATTAATCATTAAACACAAACTAAACATTAGAGTTCTCTAATTTCAATTTAATTTTTATAAATAGTGTTCGACAGTGCTTTTTGAGCACCGCCAACTTGAGGCGCCAAAATTAAATTTTTGAACGTGCTAAACGTTTCCCTTTTAATTGATTTACTTTTACCCTAGTTAAAAAGTTAAATTCTAAATAAATGTACAGTATTTGGATAAATTCCACCTATCATAGGGTTTGTGTAGCCTATTTGGTACCATAAGTATTTCCTGTCAGAAAATTAACATTAGGCCTACAAATTTTTATATAAAATTAAACTCATTTGATAATAGACAACTTATTATCTCCACTTAACTACATTTCGTCAGGCTTGATAATTGAAGATTTTATAGCTGTCGTAAAGTAGCAGCCTCAGTAAATTAATTGATTTTTTTATTACGATATGGTAGTTATTTTAACTACTATGCTATAGGCTATTATGCTAATTTTATATTATACAGGCTACACTTTAACTAGTTTAATATTATTAATGACAATGTGACTGTACGAGTAGTAGTCCCCTAAATAATATATTCATTGATTACCTAAATTTACAAAATAGGCTACGTAAAACCCCTTAAAATTACGAAATGAATATGACATCAGTACGTTCAGCTAGGCTATTTTATAATGACGCATAATAATAAGGAATAGTTCGTAAAGTACAGTATATTACTTTTCATTATAAAAATAAGATTCTCAATTTTTAATTCATAAATATGCAAGAAAACGTGCTTACTGTACTATAAAAACTTTTCAATTTGCCTAACCACAGATAACATTATTCCTCATACATTTTGTTCTCGAATATGTAAATTATTATTTGTTCGATTGTCGGTTCAGTATATTTTTGATAGCAGATTTAAATAGCAATAAAAATAATAGGCCCATAAATCTATTATCACACCTAGAATATCAGGCAGACCATTTATTTTCAAGGAAACAAACTGCAGACGGACTAAACCGTTTACGAGCATGTTTAACAGTTGATATTCGTAAATGGTGGAGTTATTTTAGGTGTTCGTCCGAGTCAACAAGACAACGTGCCAAAAACCGCGCTCCCTTATTACCCTGTAATCACTTTTAAATGGCGACGAATCCGACTTTCGTCACTATTTTGATTGATGAGGTTTCCCCCGATCAGCTGATTTAGCCAACTTTTAGGTTAGGTATGAGATAACAATTTGCGGGGTCGGTAGCGGCTGTTTATTAAAGCTCAACGGTGATTATAAAGCGATTGTCGTGTGCAGTCCAGTATGGATTACAGAGTTCCCCTCTGTTGGTTATGAGATCGTCCGTGCGACGCGCCACCGTACGGCATCTCAGCTACTACCCGTCCACAAAACATTGTATGTACAGGCCGTCCTAAAAACGTTTTGCTTCACGCTTACTTGTCTGTTTGGAACTTTGGAATTGGATAAATATGGCTTTTTATTCATTAGTTGTAACAGGGTTTAAATATTACATGGACCAAAATAAGATTAATTAATGTGATAAGAGATGCTAAATCTATTATTTTACCTTGTAATTGAAAGTTGAAAAGATTCTCAGCATTGTGCCCAAGACCCTTTCATACAAATGTCAGTACTTCTCTGTCTAAGTTAACTTTAGCTAAACATTAAGTTATAATCTAATTGGATGCCATCTTAGGTAAGTTCTATCACACAATTGTTGTTGTGTTGCATGTGTTGTGTTCTTTTGTGTTTAGCTATAGAATAAGAATTTATGTAGATAAGAAGGGAAGGAAATATAATTTTCCATAATTAATTTTTTATAAGTTTTTAATGGCTCGTTTAATTTAATTTGATAAGCAAATCTGCTCGATAATTCGTGGGTTGGTTTTAATTCGTGGATATCTCTCTGCGAATAGCACATACGTTTTGGCATAATGTACATTGGTTATTGGACTCCATGGAAAACAAAGCCTACTTTCTGACATAATATGACCTAGGAATATAGGCCTACAGTATTTCGTTTTCAATTTTAGCGTATTCCCTTTTACAGTACTGTAGTTAACTTAATTATTGAAGTCTTCATTGGGAGGCCATTGTACTTTTTGGGGTACCCGTAAGTCAAAACATAATTTTTCCAAATGCCATTAGTGTTTGCTTGTGGTTTTTTTTTAATTTCTAGTTTGGAAACTATAACGATTCACCTACGAGAAAGGGGGTGGTTTCAAAAAATCGGGGTTGGATCTTCCATTCCTCTAACCTTCTATCTCAACCAAAAGCAGACATTTCTTAGTAGTATCTAATCAAGAAGTCACACCTTAAACTCAAGCCCTTATTAATCTTTTCAATCAACGAGTTATGAATGGAGTCCGATTCACAAGCGTCCAAGGTGCACCTGTGAAATTACGTTTAATGGTGTTTTAATGCGACGTAGCCCGTAACGCGTGTGAACAGGGCTTTAAATGAGCCAAGTTCTGTAGGTGTATTCTTTGATTATAAGCCCATTGATACCACTACAACTGTCTCTGGAACTGATCTAGTGAAAAGATGTAAGTTGATTATTACGGGAGTTATAAGTTAATCGCTTTGGAGAAGGATTACAGCGAGGGTTGATTTGCCTTTCATGAAGCGATTCATAAAACAAACAAAGGGTTGTCACATTCTTTACCAAGTCACGGATCCAAGTTTGTAAACACAATTTACAACCGTTCATGATTTAACAATCTGTTCAGATTTCTACAGATCGTTTTAGTCAAAAGACGCCAATTTTCGGATACAAAAGCTGAAGTAGAAATATATTTAGTTTCCTGGTTTATCGAGGTTTCTCATCTATGTTACGTGAATATAGCTTAGTTGACAATTTTCATTTTGTGATACCGTATCGAAAAAGGAACGAAATTATGAGACATTTTTCCTGACGTTAAATAGTACTGGAATAATTAAACGGCAGTCAACTCAAAGTAAGAAAAAGTCCTATGGTGGGTAACCTAAACATTGCACTATAACTTTTAGTTGTTATTGAATCACATCCAATACGCCAATGCATAGGATGTCTAACATTGCCGCGGCAGACACATCTAACTTCACAAGAAAAGCGCAACAGACACTTTCAAGATGAGAAATCCTAAATAGAGCGAGAGAGAAGAGTTCAGATTCCTCAGGAATGGCGACACGACCATAAACGCATCTCGATCAGGACAAAAAGACAATTAAGATGGTGAAAGGAGGAAGGTTAGATAATATCGGTCGGAGCATTTCTCTGTGATATAAGACAGCGAGTAGCTTATGTCACTTCGCTTCCTCAAGTGTTGTTGCTGTTGTTGCAATGTTGTTGCTGTTGTGGTCCAAGACAGCAGTCTTGATTACTGGGAGGGGGAATAAATAACCGGTAGTTTTGGTGTACTCCAAGGTAATGTTTTCAGTCCGTTATTCTTTAATCTCGAGTTTTTAATTTTCACATCCGTAACTTCGGTCATATCGTGTTGAACAAGTTGGTAGCATTATTGTAGCTAAACTCATCTTTGGAGGATGTTTGCTCTAGGGTGAACTATGGGGAAACTTTACATTGTAGTTTGTGTACAATTTGTATATTCTTTTATCTGGTGGATTAGTTGATTTTTTCAGATTTTTCTCATAGGTAATATAACACAATATGCATTGAAGGTGGTCAAAACTAAAAATAATAACACACACATATGTCATTTACTCTAACCCGTGCAGATACATTGTGTGAGTGTGTGTATCCTGATTGGTTGTCAGGAATGCAGTAAGAGGTCCCTAGGGATACCGCGAAGTGTGGGAGGGCCGGGAGAGGAGGGAGGAGAGGAGACGAGCCAAGCGAACGAGCGGGCGATCTCGACCGTTACCCAGGCTTGATAGCTTCCGTGGTCTGAACCGAGCCGTTACCCATTACTGTATTGTAGGACACTCAGAACTGTACCTCGGAGGTCAACACTTGTCATCTGTTTGGCGGGAATATCACCGAGGGCGGAGAAAAGCGAGGGAAATGCTTAATCAATTTACTTTCCACAAGGAGTATCACAAAGGAGAATGTTAGGTCCTCATGTGTTTGGTATTTAGTGTTAGAGGATATTTCAATTTGTGCTTGAGCATTCTAGAACAAAATCTCAAACTTTGATACTGGCGTGTTTTAACTTTTTAAACACAAAATTGGATTACAGTATCTTTTAACAACGCATCCTAAAACATACTCTAACAACACGTGTCAGCTGATTCCCCTCTTCATCCAAACTATTTAGAACCTCGTTAACTATAAACGACCAAATTTAAATCAGAAGAGGAAAAAAGTCGAAACTAAATGTCCCATTGTCTGATCTGATTCGCTGGAAGTGTTATAACTAATTTTTGTCGGTAATAACTTATTCGGACCATTGTTCTAGTTCAGAGCGAAAACTCTATGAATACTGGACTCATAAATTGACAACTTGGTTCGTTGTCGAGCCGTAATTAGTGCCAGATTTAGAATTAATTGTGTTTATCTCGGTAAAAAGGATAACTAGATTGAAAATTTGAGGTAATTGTAGGAGGTGCTCGTTAAAAAGGTGTTAAGCGCATTGAATTAGGTCAATATATGTATACAAGATTATCAGCTACTTTATATATAACCAATGACTAAATACTGAAGGAGACGTCCAATCTATATGGACCAGCTGTGGACAATTGTCATTAAAAAAAATTGAATGAGCCACTCATAAATTGTGCAACAGTCTAAAATAATAAATCCTCCGCAAATGTTGTTGTGATAGTTGATAAAGTTTTCCAATTCCAGCCAACTCAAAATCACCTGCTGTATCACCAACTGATGCAATATTATTTAAGTCCTCATAGGCATAGATCGCCCTCTCTGTAGTCTAGGATCGAGAATGGAGTCG